AGCTTTCGCAAGAACTGTACTGTATGCTGGTTACTAAACGCTGCGTATGAAATGGTAACAATCTGTCTGCTAGCAATCTCTGCTTATGGTCCCGTTGGTGGCGCCATTTCGGCAACACTCGTAATGCCGAAAAAACTCGAAGGTGACGGGAGAGGGGGGCGTGGCCCAGTTTTGGAATATCATTGACTGTTTACCCAATTTATATACCATTTTCACTTGATTTTTTTTCATAATGTTGTTTATAAATATTTTTTGCACACAAAAAAGTCAATTGGCCCAATTCAGTTACACTTTAAGGAGTGTCTGTACTTGTTAAGAATATACAAAAATCTATGATTACTAGTGCAGTAACTAGGAAGGTATACATGATATTTCTATGCTTATAAAACAATACCAAAACAATTCAGAAAGTGCAGATTACAGAATAACAGAAAGTAGCACAGAGTCTCATCGTCAGTTCATTTCTTCTCAAGAACATTCTGTTTATGTGTGTTCGCGTTGATTGTCATGACGGTATGGTATATCGAAAAGATTAGTTATGAATATATTAGTAAATCGTTTTGGGCACTTCGCTTAATCAATATATTTTCCATATTTGAAAATCTAGATAGCATGACATGATGGTTGCTCAAGACAGGAACTACATATCTCGAGAAACAGGTAAGCCAATCACTGCCATCGAACAACACTTATTTTCACAATCCACACAAAAATTACTAACATTATTGACTATTGAGATGACACATAATTTGAAGATGGCTGAGCTCAATCTCCAGAATTCATCAAAGGTCAAACTCTGCTCAAGCTAAACATGTTTACACATTTTTGAAGGCTCAGGCCTTTGGGCTTTGATTAAATGGTGTTGTTGTGAAATCAAGCTTATAAATGTCATAGTCCCTTTAAATAGAAGATGCATATACCTGATAGACATGACTTAGTTTTTTTGCAAGTTCTTCATCCCTTAGACGCTGTAGTTGCAGTGATCGTTTTCTCTCTTCAATTTGTCTTTTTTCTTCTTCTTGTAATTGTCTAATGAGCTCCTCACTTGCTCGGATTTCCATTGCTGCCTCTTTTTTCTTCAATTCTTGCAACTAGAAACCAAGTTTTAAGTTACTTATTTATTTATTTACTTTATTTCCATTATTGCCATATATATATATAATACAATTATTAAAAGCTACATTACAGAAATATATATTATTCGCCATAATATAATATAATGCAGATATGGCTGGTAAGCAGAAGTTAACTTTGTTAAGTTACTCGTAGTCCAGATCTAATGAAATAACAAAAAATGTAAATTCATCCTCACAACCTCATCAACAAGTTATTGTTAATGACACAGTCCCTGTCCAAAATTTTGTGATCTGACATATCAATTTGATGCTGATGAAGTCATTGAAGTTATAATGAAACAAACAATAGGAGATGGATTTGTAAAAAATTATGATTTAGTGCTTTTACACAATAATTGGACATTGGGCAGTCATATTGAATCAAATTACAAAACTAATGTTCATGTTGATGTATCTATTGGTATACTGTCTTTGTACAAAATTTAAACAGAAATGTTCATTGCATTCATGGGAAAGTAGGCATGGGTATCACGAAAAACAAAATGGCCACCAGTCAGCCATATTAGTTTGAATCACAGAAAAAATCTGACATGCAACTATAACCCAATATGTATGATCATCATACCAACTTTGATCTAAATTGGCCTAGTCATCTCTGAGAAACAGCTCCGGGCACATTTAGGTATCAGAAATAGCAAATTTTACATCCAAAATGGCCGCCAGTCAACCATTTTTGCTTTGATCAAAAAGTAACTTGACGCGCATATGCAAGACATGTCTTCATGTAAAGTTTGAATGAAATCCGTCAATGGATGTCTGAGATATAGCCCTGATATAGATATAACCCTGTTTTTGAACTTTGTCCGAGCGGGGACTAAAAAAATCGCACTTATTTGGGGTTAAAAATTTAAAAAAATTTCAATCAAACATTTTTTAGGGACTTGTATTTTCATTGAAAAATCCACCTATACCGACTTTCAAAGACGGCAGTTAGACCCACCAAAACGAAAGAAAATATTACAGAAGCTAATCTAAAATTTTATACATTTTTTTCTTGCTGAATTAAAAAGTAGGCCGCATAAAATTTCATTACAGTGTCATCAGCGCATCATTCTAAAAAAAAAAATCACATTAACGAACCTCGAGCGCCAATTTGTTTTATTTAATTAGTAGCAAAAGATTATTTTAAAAGAAGTTTCAAATAAAAACGAACACAACTACATTAGCAAATGATCGCGATAGCGCAATCCGATCATGCTGTGTTTCACAATTGTTGATTATCACCTAGTAATGATTATAATAACGTGCAAACAATAAATTCGTTGAATTGTTATGAAATGCAAATAAATTTTAACTTATTTCATCGAATGATTCCGGTCGCATTTTAAACGCTCGATGCTGTAGAATAATCTGCCATGAATATCCGCCATGTTTTGACCTGACGTTTTTTGACAGGTCAACTTGCTAATTAACCAATCAAAATGATGGATGATGCCAATGTGTTCATAGCTAATTTAAATATGTTAATGTTATTGAACTTCAGGTTTGTGTATATAACCAGCTGAACTCGCGCAACCATTCTTGGCAAAATTTCTATTTGTTGCTACTGACTTGCTTGAAATAACCATTATACATTTTTGCAAGTTATAGCCACATGGGAACTTGTCTGGGTGAGTAACATTGTGAATTCACCCAGCTGTTTTGATACACAGCTGAAATCAACATGTATGGACAGATTGCATAATCAAGTTCAATTATTAATGTACCAGATTCTGTCGTAAATTTGCCCAGGGCGATTTTTCGGCAGTTTTTTAACGCGTTATTTCAATCTTTTCTGATGCCTAAAAGTCTCACCGTAATCTTTGACGCCGCCTATTCAAAAGTATGGTGTTTATTGCGACTAGCGTGAATTGGTATAACTTCGTTTCGACAATGAGCTGTTATCACTGTAAACAATATTAAATTAAACTAAATCAAGCCAAAAGATCGTAAAACAACATGGGCAAATCTTGGTGGTTGCGTTCATTAACATTAACACATTTAAGTGAGCTATGGTAATTGAACATGTTGGCATCATGCAGCATTTTGATTGGTTAATTAATTGGACCTATCAGGTCAACTTGTGTAAAAGAGAAAACATGGTGGATATTGTATCACACTGAGCATTTACATGACGTGACCGGAATCAATCGCTTACGATGAAACTAAGTTGAACTTTACTTGTTTTTCATAACAATTCAACAAATTTATTTTTTGTACATTATTATCACTACTGAGTAATAAGCAATAATCAATTTTGAAAAGCAGCATGACCGGTTGCGCTACTTTGATTACTCGGGGTATTTGCTACTAAGCAATGCAGTTGTGTTTGTTTTATTTGAAACTTCTTTTAGAATATAAAATAAAAATAATAAATGCATATTACATTAAATATGCTGAGTATTTTTTGTCATCAGGTGACAAATTTTTTTTGATGAAGCACACAATGATTGGTATGGCCAAAACAATGTTGGTTGTTGGTCTTTTTGTATAACTTTCTAGACTGTCTGGAAACATTCCATTTACTTAGTATTTAAAGTAAATGATACAATGATTAAGTGTCCGTAATGAGCTGCAAATAGTTGTTGTGTAATACTATGTAGTAGGCGTGCAGGAAAAAATTGTTCTCTTATGGAGGCTGTATGTGTCAGAAATCAACAAGACATTGACTGACTGCTTCATGGAGTGTGACCCTTTGTTTTATTTTTTTACGAAAATGAACACACACAAAATTAAATTAAAATAATCAACTCAAATTCAGAATAAAATGGTTTCCAAAATGTTGAGAATTTATATCAACATGAAACAATGCACGCATATACATGTAGTGTCCCCCACGTGATTACACTGTGACAAGTGGTCTTTCAATCAAAATATGCTGTTTCGCAGCGTGATGTACACTGCGACCCTTTTGAAGAGTGTAATAATCAACATTCGACGAGTTGCACTTTCACATAACAGAGTTAGATTTTAGAACCCCATACATACATGTAGTTTTGTCAATGTTCTCATTGTGTTAATTTGTGTATTAAAACAGACAGGGACAATAACATGATGGACCATTGGCAAACATCCTGCATGAATCTGTCATTTTTTGTTCCACTCGAAAATTCATGCAAACATTAGCAACCGACATGGGCAGATACCTGAATATTACAGCAATAATAAATGAATTGCTTATGTATAGACACAATCCCATCTACAGAGAGAGACAGTGGTGTGGAGATTTTATTCATGAAAGATCAAAATACACAAACAGGAAACATATCAGGTGGTCTGAATAGGGGCTTTAATACATCGTCCAAGAAAAACAATTCTACTGTTATAGTTAAACACTTAGCAGAAGCACAGACTTGTATTGGACTACCACTATCCATAAAAGCATGTAGGGCTCTATTATAAAAGTTGTGTTTAATTTGATATGCACCTATTATTTTTTTTTTCATTATTTTTTCAAAACTATTGCAGTCTTGACCTTCCATTTAAACAATAACAAAAAATAATAGGATTTTGTTTATACCCAAAGTACCTTTTTCATTTCTTTCTCATATTCTCTTCTGACTTCCCCTGGTTCACACAAGTGAGGTTTACTTGGAGAACTAATTTCTGGAAAAAAAACAATATGAAGGGATGATGAAATGAAATTGTGATAGCCAAACTGTCAAATATGCACATTGTAAACAACACACGCATTGCCTTTCTCATGAGTCATGGCAATATTGGCAATTCGCCAAGTAACACAACAGCACAGTTTTGCTTTTTTTCTATATATACACGCAAATTGAAGATAAGACTGCCAAATCTCTAATGTAGAAAATCAAATTCAACTACACAGACGGCGAAGCTGAGAGAACGAAAGTGGGCGTGTCACCATACATATGTGCGACCGATTTATTTGGCGCGCTGCTTCAAAAATCTGCCGTCTGCCGACAGTGACAATTGTTTTGGTGTTTGTGTCAAGAACACTGCGTTACCTTCATCCTGGCTTTCATCTTCAAGGCCTTCGATGCGTCTTCTACATTTTTCAGGAAACGCCGATAATATACTTTCCCATCTTTTTTGATTGATCAATTTCTTTTCGCGAGTTTTCTTTCTTGCCCAGCTGCTAATACGAACGCGACACATCGGGCAAGTAAAGTTTGCTTGTTCAACATTTTCACGAAAACACGGCATACAGAGTTCATGCGAACACGGCATAGTAACAGGCTCAATCAAAATTGACATACATATTGGACATAAACATTCCGAAAGCTGTAAATCTGTCATGTTAACAACAGTTGTACTTGACAACTGCAGCTCTTGAGACGACGTATCTTCTCGCAAGGCCGCCATTTTGTTAGCCTCGCGACTACTTCTCGCGCTGCGCGAGACTGTCAATAGTACAATTTGCTAGTTTATCATGTTAAAACACGTAATATAGTGTCAATAAAATATAATATAAAATAATATCGCATATCATTTCAACAGTTATTACCACTGACATCTCCATCTATTTTTTTAGACTAACTCTAAATTTGTTTACGTTTATCAGTAGATACTCCCGTGATGCTTTGCGAAACAATATGGCGGAACCCTGTCCACTTCTTGCTGGTTGGTATTTTTTCTTGGTATTTTCAGAATAACTGTTTTTCCTTGAAAGCATATAGTATATACTGTTGCAAAATAATATCACCTCTCTATGGCAGAGATAACATTTGAATAACAGTGTGTGTAGAATAATTGTTTTGTTACATTGGGTTCGTCAATCCGGAGCACACGTGGATTTGTGTTTATTTTTTCATGGAACAAGATGTCAAATTATTCCACGATGCTAAGTTGATTGTATTTATGTTGACGCGCAAACAAATTACATGTTAGTAAAGTAACAGAAAAAAAAAAAATGTTTGAAATAAAAACAAGCGAAAAGAATGTTGTGTCATTATTATCAGAAAATTAATAAAAAATACGTTCATTGTTTTGAATCAAAAGGGTTAATAATTAAAAAAAACACAACTAAAATTCAGGAATAATGTTGATACATGTTGCTTCTCCAAAGTTGCCTGTCATAGGTACAAAAATAGCATGTTTGGTCTGCTGCATTTCGCTATATAGTAAGAACTTGATAACTTTATTTACCTGTCCACAGGGAAAGAAATATACCTGTCCAAGCTTAAAATCTACTTGTTTGTGTACTTTAATAATAAATGCAATAGCTATGGTGTTCAATAACCGAAAATCACCAAACAGTCTGGTGTCGTTGGTATTGGTATTAATTCAGTTTTCTGCAACACTGAGTTAGGTCCCTCTTTATTCAATTCAGAGCATGATTATTTTACTCTTGTTACCACACCACTCAGAGAAATTGTGTTCAAGCATGCTTCTGAAGCAGAATCCAAACAGCAATGCACGAAACAGCTCTCAACTACATTTTGCTGACAATACAACTACAATAGAAGTTGAAGTACATTAAAAATAATTACATGTATACAAATCGTGTATTGTGTGTCCTTACAAGACTGGAATGCAATTAGCATTGGTAATTTGTCAGATGCCATTTGATACGATGTAAACCAGTGACAGAATCAGATCAGATTGATTTTTCAACCAGCTTTACAAACAAGTGATACCAGTTGATAACCAGTTTATAATAATTACTATTATTATTATCATTGTGTATATTATTTATTGTATATTTTCTGGTGAAATAAAAACAACAACAACAACCTTGTATGATTCTCATATTCCTTATAGTTTATCCACATGCATGTCCCCTGCTCAGCGTATATGGCACTGGCTCATATAATTGGTCATATTACATATTAGTATGTCATAGATGTTGATGATGTACGATATATATAATTGGTACTAAACAAGTCTTGGTTTAACATATTAATATTCATTAACTTGTATGTATCTGATATATCAACTTAGAAAAAGTAATATTAATTTTCCCGGGCAAGATTTTTTAGATGTATTCAAGATCACGTTTATTCATTTGGATGTGTTGATTGGTTCCCAAAAGGTGGAATCCTGAATACAGAACACCCAACTTTTTGTCACTGCTCTAAAGTACATTTTAAATATATTGAAAAAACTTGCCTTAGACTTCTACATGAATATTCATTTGCTCCACTAACATATATCAACAATGTCACACATTTGATTATATCTGACTGGATACATTTCTAATAACTGCTTAGGGCACAGTTCATCTTCAGCATCTATTGTTGGAGGTTATTCCAGTCTGTGGTGAGTGGTGACTTTGTTGAGTCCTGTAGTTGATTTATTCTCAGTTTTGTGAAGTTCTATTTTTTTAATTAGAGCTTGAAAAAATTGTAATTCAAACAGATGAGCCAATTTGTAATAAAAAATTTCTGTACATGGTTCTGTTCAGGCCATAGAGGGGACTGTACATGATGTGATATTAAAAATGAAACAATGCTACCTAGCAGTATTTTAAAAAATCATTCTTTAAGCCATTAATTTAGAGCACAAGATAAAACACCCAGGGTACTTTTTTTTTCTGGATAAAAAAGTAATTGATGGAATTCTTTGGTAAAGTTGTTCCAGTTAACTTTCTGCTGATACTAAATTTTGCAACTTTCTCTGAAATCCTGGGAAATTTATCTCTTACTCAATTAAAACATTTTATAAGTAACCTTACTTGGAGTGAAATGGAAAAAATGTACTAGTATGGTTGTAGTGTGGTCAATCCAATTGTCACTGTCAGTCCTCAGTAATGACACAAATACTTAATCAAGTGTTTCCATTCCTATTTATTTTGTTGCAGTGAGAGGGTCTACTGGCCTGTCATTGTTTGAAGGTCCACCATCATTGAAAGAACATTCTGATTTCCCAAAGTAAGTTTTCCATCTCTTCAGCATACGCCGATATAGACTCCCAAGAAATCATTTATTGATAAGTTACTCTTGATGTCTGAATGGTGCGAGTTGATCACCAGCTGCTAATCAATGATGCATTTCTTAAAATTCATGTTAATATCTATATTTGTTTTCAATCTTCAGAGATATCAGTAACAAGTGTAAAGTGTGTGCATACAGTTCAGATGGTGCTTTGTTTGCTTGGTGTAATGGACAAAGGTAAGACCACAACTTGTAAAACACAACATGACTGGGATATGCAGAGCTGCCAACCCTTGCAAAAAATTTGTATTGGTTACGAAAATACAACGGGAATACGCTAATATGAAAACACATCAAATAAATACGAATCTACGAAATTTAAAAAGGTATAAAACATGGTCAAAGCAGAGTTCACGATCAGTTTACGCTACTCACGAAAAAATGTGTGTTTATTCCGTGATTGGGTAAAATACATTTGCACTGTTATCATCGCGAATCGTGTAAAAACTATTCTTTCAAGACTTGTTTTACCTTTTAAAAATTGTTAATCACCTCTTTCGAAAACCACCATGCAGTTTTCAACTGAAATCAATGCCAACACATTGTACTACGACATAGCTTTACTTCTGCAATGTTATTTTTATAATCACTAACATTTGGAAAATTTTGGGTTCTACCAGCAATTCCATGCAGCATTCTGATTGGTTAATGGCATTCTTGACCCATCGGGTCAAAGGACATATGTCGGTCAACCAATGCGTCACAAACATCATGGTTTGAACAAGGTTTTTTACCAAAGCACTCAAGTGATCAAAAATAACCACTCCTGAAGTCAAATAAAAAAAAAAGAAGTAACATTTTTTGCATGGCATCATGACTGAGTAAGAGGAATTATTGGTAAAATAGGTGTATAACGTAAGTTATGTCACGTTGTAACTTTGATGATCGTTTGGATATTATCTTAAAATTTAATTTTGCAACAATTCAAATTTTTTTGTTTCTTGTTAATTTAATCCAATGCATTGTAATTAACCCATACAGTTTGATGTATTGTTTTGAGACAACATTTACCTTAACCCACCCTATGGTATGGTATGCATTAGTGCTGCGATAATACATGATCAGGTCTTTATATATGTAAAACACTGCAACTTAAAAAAAATATGAATTTAGTAGGTGATGAGTACTAATTCTGATTTTCAAAGGTTGGCAGCTCTGCATATGACTAGTACTGATGATTGTGTGGTAATTTCTTACATGTTATTGAAGGCTGTGCAATGTATAGTGTTGTAACCATGAAAGTTGACTTTTATTAGATGCGTTCATGGTCAAATTTGTTAGACTTTGGGAGCTGATCAAAATCAAACAAGTGGTTTCCATCCAGGGAAGCTCCAAGGATCTCTACCTATATGCAAATTTATGCAAGAATATTCATGAGCTGAAAGTTCAGTGCAACACATTGTATTCACAAAATAGGACAACTAAACAATTCATGAATGTAGCAAGGTTTTTGCGCTACCTATTTCCTGGTGTCGCATAAATAAAGTGTTTGCTTATTCATCAAAACGTCAATTTCAAAACATTATGGGTTGTAATATTTCCTGTGTTATGTTTCTTTATTGTTGAAGAAAAACATTGGGCTACTTGAGTTATAATATGTTGCTATGATCTGAATAAAACAAATTTTCCCCACTAAAAACTAGCTATAGTGGATCGCACTGAAATAAAAACTTTGCCTTCAAAATGGAATTGCACAACCCTGTAAATTTAGGTCAGAAGTAATAATACTGTTTTCATGAATGCATAGATTTTAGAAACTTAGGGCCATAAATAATTGCTGTGTCACATTTCCTTGTTGATTGGAACACTGAAACGTTTGAGGACTTGTTATATCTTACGCTGTTTATTTCACAATAAAAACGAAATGTAGTGGTTCGCACTGAAATAAAAACTTTGTCAATAAAATGTAACTACCGGTATGAAGTTCAAACTGCATACATTAGAAATCTCTGACTAGACATGATTGCCTTCCTGAAATTTGGACCGATTTCTTTTAATGTTTTTTATTTTCAAAGGCAGACATCTGGTAGTTACACTTTCTATAAATTGTAGTTACACTTTCTATAAATTGACTACTAGTGGTTGAACCTGTTTGTATTCAGAACAAATGATGCTTTCTGGGTGACTTCATTAAAAGTTAATTAGTGAAATCAGCGGAGCTCCTTGAGAGACCAGGTAACTCCTTGGAGCTCCCCAGTCTGGAAACCACTGGTTTGATTTTGTTCACCTGCCTTGACTTGATTAATGTGAAAATAGCAATAATGTGTTGATAGTGTTTATAGTGTTTGAACACCAGTGCGAGTCAGTTAGCAATGTTGCTTTTTAGATAAGTCGCGAGTACGCTCTGTGGCACAGATAAAGTTTTGTACAAACACAATAAACTAGTGCACTGATAACATGTAATTATATAACAGACAGTAAGCTAAGCAACATTTTCTGTATCCAATATCTTGCATAGAACCACCAAGGCAAGCTGAAACAGTGAAATTAGTGTGTTTCTATTTTCTTGAGGTGTTTACCCCAAGAGTTACCATCATGACTTCAAAACTGACTTGCATGCACTGTATGTATGCGGAGGAAATTTAAAATTTTGTACAAATTTCAGATTGTAATTTAATAGCAAAAAAAAAAAAAAAAAACTGGGAATGTTTCATACATGTACATGTAGAATAACTGTATTTTTTTGAACCTTGTATAACAAAAACATAAAATAAGGTATACTCCATGTTATAAATGATTTTTAAAAAGCAGTAGTGGTTTACACCTCAAAACAATGGTATCTTCCATGACACTTTCGACTCTGCTGATGAGAAGTCATATATAGTAAATTTTAAAAGCAGTCATTCTCTAAACCCAACATTACTAACTGACTAGCAAATCTTATGACTAATGAGCTGCATTGGTGTTGGAACTCAACATGTGGCAGTAGTAAATGTAAACCGGTTTCCACTTTGTGTATCAACACAAAACAAATGAATAGATAAAATATCACTTGGTTTACAGTGTTATTATAATAGAAGTAGCGTCATGTTCCCTTGTACAGAGGATAAACAGACCAAAAACCATATTTTTAGAGTTTTCTCCAAAGAACAGTATTCTTGCAACATGGGAACCTTATGTGGGTAAGTCATTTGATTTTGTCTCTATTTGTGTATTTAGCATTTCTATTGGGCATTTAGCAAGCCAATGCATGGTTTACTACATTGATGCTATATTTATTTAAATTCATAATATCTAAAGGAAGAATAGTCCCAGTGTCCATTTACCGTATGAAGATTATTTTTAGTCCCCATTCAGATGCACTCCAAGAATAGGGACTTACGTTTTGACCTCTGTGTTTGCATGTTACCTGTATCTCGTACATGAGTTATCTTCACACATACATCACACATTTGGATCCACACCTATATATCAGACATTTACTTACCAAACCTTTTCATTCTTTAGATGTACATCATGTCGCACATATGTACATTTGACAATTCAATTCAAGATGGCCAATTAAGACCATTTCAATGTTAAAAATTTATCAAAATCAAGCAATTCTGCCAGTCCAGAACCTGATTTTGGTCATGTATATGTTTCAATGAAACTTGGTACAAACATTGGACAATATGGGACCCCTATGCACATCTATTTGTTTTTTGGATTGGATTAAAAACGGCTGACTGGTGGCCATTTTGTTTTAACAGTTCTAGAGCTCTTTACATGTACATCATAAATTATGTTGGACATGTGCATATTTATTCATTTGGTTATCTTATTCAAGATGGTTGAATTGTAGTTGTTTGTAGTCCCCATTCAGACGCCTTCCGAAAACGAGACATGGGGATTGACCTCTGTGCATGTGTCCATGCATCTGGACTTGTATCTTGGACATTCCTGGACTGATTATTATCATTGTAACTTTGTGTACACAAGCATCTATGATGTGCATAGACAGATTTTGTTTGTATGTATGTACATTGAACTTTATGGGACCATAATTTACATCACTTTGTTTGTCAGATCTGACTCAAAATGGCCGACTGGTGACCATTTTGTTTTAATGAAAGCAATTTTGGAGCCATATCTCTGACATTCTCTTGATCGTTCATGTTCAAACCTTTTTTTTCTCAAACTTAAGAACTCGCTATGTTATACAATCACTTGTCACCATACGAGATATGAATGTCAGCAAGGTTGACCTGAGACGAGTCAAGTGAACACAGTACATGATTGTAGACTTGGAGGATGGTCAGCGAATGGACTTTCCATTAAATAATTATTATGATCAGCTTGTATTAAATGTTCCACTACACTTGCGGTTCAGTAAGAGCAGTTTAGTTAGAAATCAATAGCATATGTGTCCAAACATTTTCATTTTATTTTAATGCGTAATTTGTGCTTACATGTACAGCAATTTATCCAAAAATGCCCTGACAATACTGTATTACCGGTACAACTTGTGTGACAGTCGGTTAATAGTAATCTATGAATGTTGAAGTGTCAAATATTTCATTGCTTCAGAATAGATCCATTGTTAAATTCATAGTCAATGTTTTCATTAACAGCATCAAAGGATATTCCCGGTGGAAATCCCAACTTGCAGCTCTGGAATGTCAAATCTGGTGATCACATCAAAGGATTTGTTCAGAAAAGACAAGATACTTGGTATGTGGTTTTATCATTTGCATATTTTTATCCAAAGATGTAAAGACAATCCTCTAATTGTTAAAATGGATGTCTGTTTTTTCTTTACCATACAAGTATGGAACGCTAAGGAATCATTGGGTGTCACTCATTTTGATGAATTAATTGATAGATTACAATCACTGATATTATGCCTGCTTGCGTAAATATTATGTTAGTATAGCATGCATTGGGATATTTTCATGAAAATATAACTGAAATCCTAGAACATGGTACAGTCGTAAAATAGATCAAATAAGATCAACGTTCACAGACTTTACAGTGATGTGAATTCTAATGAAGTTTATTGTCTGAACAAAGCACTTAAAAATGTGTTATTTTCAATCCCACAACAGTTATTAATATGTCTGTCGTTATTTTAGTTTTTGTTTACTCATTGTCCGAATCAAACTGTCTTGAGTAATTTTTCATTTGAAACAGTATTGTCGCTGTTTGTCTTGTGCATTCTCACTTCCCATGCTACAATTCAATGTCTTATGATCGGTTTGTCAGGTGTCCTCAGTGGTCATCAGATGAGAGTCTTTGTGCACGGAATGTCAATAATGAAATCCATTTCTTTGAAGGCAATAATTTTGGTAAGTTAGATATTATTTTTGCTGGAATATGAATTTTGAAAAATAAAAAGTCTAGGGTTTATGTTTTAACGATGGATGCAGATGAATACTTTCGACTTGGGAAATTTATCGCCTGTGACTGAATGTTTAAATATCTGAAGACAAAAAAAAAATTATTTATTCATGAACTTTTAGTTTTATTAAATTGTGGAGTAATGCTATGAGAGAAGCATAGTAATTTTGTCTATGCATACAAGCTTGGGTAACCCCACTGTTTTATTCTCACCTTGTTATTCATTTGATGTACACCTTAGCTATAAAAATATTAAGAAATTATATTGAATTGTCTGTGTTCTTGGCTTGCTAGAACAGACTATATAGTTACTACCTTAACTGTAGCCAACTTACAAATGCCCATTTGCATCACAATTTACACATACTAAATTATTTATTTTAGATACAATTGCTAAAAAACTTCACATACAGAAAGTATCTGACTTCCAGTTGTCTCCCGGTGATATGCCGTGCAAGGTTGCTGCGTATGTACCAGGATCTAAGGTATATCATCTCATGGCTATATCTAGCGCCCTCTAGACTATTCACATGTCAATGCATACCTACTTGTTTTTCATTCACATCCACAACCTGTGGTTTACAGCAAGTCTCAGAAATATTGGGGCAGCCAATTTGCAAACTCGCTAGCGAATTGGCTAACTGCTTGGGTTATGACTAAATAGTTGGCTTTCAAATCTCGCTGGCATCGGATTGTGAAAAATCGTCATAATATATCCCTGACATGTTTATGTTCCAACTATATCACTATAAACAAAACTATACATCTTAAATTTGATAACTAACAGGAACTGTGCCATGCATGGCTTGTTCTATTGTTTCAATTAGTTTAGCTTCTTTACATTTCCACTGTATTCTTTACCCCTAAAAGACATGAAATAAAACACAACCATCATTGGTGCAGGGAACGAAATGCAGAATGTTTTGCACCAACGTACCGCATGACTTGTACATAGAGGGGTCATATAAAAGGAAAGCTGTATATCATCATCTATAGAGTGATTTTATATTACTCTCGGCACAACAAACCCATTCCTTTCATCTTTATAAGTATTTATAAATTTCAATGGCATTTGAATCCAACCAGCCAATCAATGAGCACAGTGCGCAACTTTAGTTGAAAATAATCTAATCTTTTTTTTAGTTTTGATGATTAATGTATTTTGTTTCAGGGTGCGCCTTCATTTGTACGTATATTTAAATATCCTAACTTAGAGGGCCCTGGTGCTGCCCTAGCTAATAAGAGTTTCTTCAAAGCCGACCGTGTCACAATGTTATGGAACAAACGAGGTAAGCGGAAAGTTGAACTCAAACTTGCATTCCATTCGTTATTCAGTAAATGCCCAAGATGTAATGCTGTGTTCAATTCAAAACCAAAGACTTGTAATTTCTATGTCAGTGCTTTCACCGACACTTTTTCTCAGTCTTGCTTTCACTGATTTTGTTCAAATTTTCAAACTTGTCATTCTTTATTTGTCAAGCATGACTCTGGCCTATCCTTTAAAACTTGGTTATTAACATCACATTTGAGGTTTAACAACATGATCAGTATTCACTGTCACTTCTCGTACACTCTTTTCATGGTGTATGTTTTTGGATCTGATCACATTTGACCAATTGCTGGCTATTTTTCAAAAATATTTCTTGGGTGCACCAACACTGATTTAAGCGCAACACACAGTCAGTCACTGATAAGTGTTTGATACAAAATGGCTGATTAGTGGCCTCGTTTCTGAAACACTTTGACTAATTTTCTACAAAGTTGGTACATAGACGTCATATGATGAAATTTTTTATGGACTGACTTTCAAAATGCAAAAGTATTTGGTCTCAATCCATTGAGCAACTCAACAACCAAATATTAAAATATGATTTTTGGATACATCCTATCCCCTTTCTGTGGATGTTTTATGTTGCATATTTTATAAATCTTCTAGTTTATGAGTGATGTAATATCGTCATCTTTTATTGAGGTCGTGATTTACTTGTAATAACTACAGTGGATGTGGATAAGACTGGTGCTTCATATTACGGTGAACAGACTCTGCATTATCTTTCTACCAATGGAGAAACATGTGCTGTGCCCTTAGGTGAGTAAGATACAACTAGATAAAGGATAATCACATGTGATAATCAACTGCACATATATCAAACAACAGTTGTTGATGCATTTAATTTACTGGCATTATCACTGGGTTATTATTCATACGAGAAAATCTTCATCCTTGCATATTAATAGTTATGAAATAAATACCAAAGTTATCCTTAAATAATACAGGCTATAAAGTGAATATGTTATCCAAATTAAATAGGAATGAATTTATGGGACAATGTATAGATGACCATTTTGCCATATCTGTGTGTTTCACACGCAATACAATGTGTTTGTGATATACTTCCGATTAATATTGCAGCCAAGAAAGGACCCATTTACAGTGTTGATTGGAATCCAAATTCTTCAGATTTTTGTGTTGTGTATGGCTGTATCCTTTCATGTAAAAGTCTTCTGTGATAGTTTACTACAACTGTGTGGTAAAGGTATTGTATATATTAAATTAAATTAGTCAACTGCTTGGTACATGAAGTGCAGAACTGGGCTCTCACAATAAACTTTTAAAACATCTCCACTAGTTGGAATTTCAATTTTCTAATACGATAAAATGTCAGCTCAGTGTAACTTATTGATGTAGTCTAAAGATCTATAATAAATCACTTTCTGTTCATTTAGCTGCATTTTCCAATTTCTAAAACACAAGGTAGTTAAATCATGGCTCCAGATGTATGAAAGGAAAGATTGCTATCAGATATTCGTATACAAATGATGCTCAAGAGACGTGCATTGATTCATGGTTATCCATGAAATCACTCTTTTCAAAATCAAAATGCATGGGGTATTGTATTTGTTTGTCATACACAACATTGAATATACAAGAGATACAAATGTGATGCTAGTTTACTAGTTGGGTGAGATTTCAGCGTAATTTTTGCCTAAAACAACAAAGTACAAATCAAATAAACCATAGCAAAAGTGATATGCATTGATGTTGTATGGAACACCTTGTACATGAAGAATTGCCAAAAAAATCCATGGATTGGAAGTCAAATATTACCGTCATAGTAAATAGTGAAGAATATTTAAAGATTATTGATTTTGTTAAAATAAAAATCAGATGATGTGTACTCCAGCCTGAATAGCCTATAAAGCATGTGTGTATGTACATGTATCACTATGCTATATATTGTCTTTCCCTAACACACCTACTCAGTCATGCCTGCAAAAGCCACATTATATAATTTGAAATGTGACCCAGTGTTTGATTTTGGTACTGGACCAAGGAATACAGTTTATTTCAATCCTCAGGGGAATAATATCCTTTTTTAAATATATTTGATTTTGTATTCAATTTTGTTTGTTACTGAAATATTGTTCATCGGTGTTGTTGAAGTTTGGATAATTGTTTACACCTGAGATATTTTATGATGTAACTTTAACTAGACACATTGCTGATTTAAGTTAATATTTTAAAAAACAATTCAGGGTTCAGTACTCAAAAGAGTAGACGAATCTGAACTGGACTTGTTGATAGTCAACAATCAGATACAGTACATCATGAATATTTTTAAACCAATTTTGGCGTAGATCTGTTTTGTAATTTTGTGTCAGCAGCTATTGCTGACTGAAGTATACAAGTCTCGCACATATTTAATGGAGTTATTATATGGAAAAAAGGATAAAGCCTCAGCAAGTTAATGTAAAAGCTGGCTCTTAAGGTAGAGATGCAGTTTATTTGGCAAGCTTTTTAATTGAGTAATTAGACAATGAAGATAGTATTATATATCCAACATGTTATATATTTTCTGAAAGCTTATTATACAAACTTTGTGAAACTTGTCTTTATTTTGAATATCCAGAATGCGTTTTTGATTTTGGGTCAAAAATATGCTTTTTTGGGCAAAAGTTGTTTAAAAAAAATTAGCTTAAAAACTTCAAGTCCGTTTGTGGGTAAAATTACATCACTGGAT